AAACTTCATCATCGCAGAGATTGAACCTTAGGCCAGTCCTTCCCGCTTTTTGGCGTTCCCTGGGCCGTTCAGGAAAAATGAAAGTGAATGAATGAAAAAGTTCTGTATTCCGTGCACATGTCTCTCCATACTGCAAAAAAAAAACGGTTTTGAAAACGAGGTCACGATCTGAATGACCTTCTTGTTCAAAGCGACCCACTGTTCTGGTCTTTGCAGTATCCTCAACAAACACCCGTCGATTGCGTTAAAGTTTTGTTAACACATTGACCAAGAGACACGGTTTGCACGTCTCAATTTCACTGCGTTTCGCTGGTTTTTCGATTTAATATGCATTTTCATTTTCATACAATATTAGGTTGGAAAGAAAGTTCTGCAACACTCTTTCTAAAATTTTCTTTTTTTCTGAAAAATTCATAGGTAACATTTATGACTAACAAATGGTAGAGCATTCTCGAGGCTTCAATCCACGAGGTGGATATAAGTGCTGCAGTCAGTAGTTATCCAAGAAAATTCAAAAAAACCTCGACCACTGTAAATCCATGCTCCGAGTCACTGTCTAGTATAAATGTCTCCAAAAGCTATGGATTTGTTGTCAACGACTGACACTATCTGCATTAACCTCATTAGGCATGTCGTTCACCGCTCCGCGCGAGTGTGTTCACCTTTACTAGTGCTTTCGATCTTTTTGATATTTTTATAAGAAGCCAGCAGCGTACTGCACACTCCATTATAGCAGGGAGGGCTCTCACGGAAGCTCAACTACAAATCCTTCGTTATGGGCACCATTATGTAGCTAGAGGTCTAGGCTGCGGAATTCAGAAGCTGGCCGAGGTAGCTCGTCAAGAGCCCTCGTACCGCGACAATATTCATTTCTTTCATGACATTGCGAATCACCATGATCCGAAATGAGCCCGGTAAGAAATTCTGGAGCTGCGGCAAGATTTCTTACCTCTCTTAGCGTATTCCCCTGGTCAAGCTGCAAATGACTGCCACCTATCCTGGACCTTAAATCATTCATCTTGATGACGAAATAATTAACAGACGATCAACTCCAACTCGAAAGTGAGGTCGCCTCCTTTCTCGACTCGCACTCCGCTGGGTTTTGGCAAAGGAGCATCAAGAAATTTTCTGAGCGTTGAAGACAAGTGGTGGACACTCATGGTAGATATAAGACCGGTCAGGAGTTGTAAACAAAAAAGATAAAATTAAAATCAAAAATTTGAAAAAGTGTTGCAGGACTTTCTTTCCAACCTAATATAACTTATATCGATAACTTCGTATTATGTACAGTGATACGAAGTTATACGAAAGATATGATAAGTTAGTGTAGTTAATAAAAAATAAAATCGCACGAAGGTGCCGCGAGGTACAGCGCACAAGGAGGGGGGGGGGATCGTAATGTGTTAATGTTCTCGACTCGGTCATGATGTAACCGCTCAATTGATAGTATATGTATACAGTTATCCCGGCACATGGAGACCGTCCTCACACGAGTGAGTTAGCAAACGTGAAACATTAAAACAATTTCTGCACAATCTGTTTCGCTCTTTTGGCAACCTGGCTGCAGTGAAGATTCCGGCGAGAAGAAAACACGTGTGTAGTGCAGCTTGTTTCAGCTAAAATGTGGTCCTCGATGAGTAAAAAGGAGGACCTGCTGCATGATTTCCAATAGCGTTTTTTGTCGCCGTCATCGCCGATTTTTATTCGTCGTGGGTAGTAAAATTCTTCAAAGGGCGTCGAAGCTTCTGAGAGTTCTTCCCAGCTCAGCATGCCTAAGATGTAATCATCGAACTGTTGATTTTATGTTGTTTCTATCCTTTAATGTACTCCCTGTTTTGTCCATTTTATGTTGTGTTGTTAAGTTCTCAGTGAATCCATTGTTGTGCAGATACGGAGCTTTTCAAGGGAAAACGCCGTGATCAACTTGGAGCGATCGAATCCATCGTGAATATTGAAGAATCAAAGCGAAGGCGCTACGTCGAAGAGGTGTGTGAAAATTCAGTGTTTTGCTGGTTACCATGTACATATGCAGTGCAAGTTCCTTTTAATAGTGTCACCATATGAGGAAAACAAGTTGCTCCTTTCAAAAGGGGATAGAGTCGGCAGACATTTCTCATGAATTTTTCTGATGGCAGTCTGCTTCTCATCGAGAGTCATAATTATGATCGAGAATCATAATTCTAAAGGAGCTACTTCAAGTAGGGACAGTATTATGCGATTAGTTGAGCTTTTATGGCCAAGTGATGGAGCTCTACGCAAGAACATCAGCCTTATTGACTTCTGTTTTCCTCCAAAAATATATGTTTCAATTAGATGCTTATTTTTTTCTGACGAGTTAGACTCCTTGATTACAACTAGATTGCCTTCTGTTTCCTTTCTCGGAAAATGAAGAAATCTCTTTCTATTCGAATAATGAGAAACCATTCCTAAGTGCACCGTGGACCCCTTCTTCTCTCATTGGATAGTAGTTCAGGAAACGTTGCTTGTCCCAAGAGACTTATGTGTACATTCTTGCAGAATTAATTGCATTTTAACTGTTTTATAGGTTGTGAAAAATGTAAAGGATATTCTCAAAGAAAATCGAGAGACATTGGAAAGGATTGGGCATGCGGCATCTGAACCATATCCTCACGACAGTGAAACGTTAACAAATGCCATATCAAAGGTAAGTTTCTATATCCGACGAAGTATTTTAGAAGTTCAACAGTTTCTATTTCAATACGAGGTTTACTTTTGGTGTGAAAATTTCATATTTTCCGCTGAAAAGTTGTTTTGGCTTAAGATGATTTAGTAGATTAGGTCCACCATTGTTATAGCGCACCTAATCCAAATATTCTCAATGCTGAGGGCAGATATCCTGAAATTTAATGGTTGCAGTTTTTTTGTGAAGGAAATCTATTCTGGACCCGCTGTTTGAATATTGGCTCAACATTAGCAGAGCTTGTATAGCCCGGAAACGCATTAAAATGTCCCTACGTTTCTGATTGTTATCGATTCGTCATATGACAACAACAGACACCAATGTGACTCGAAAGTCGCTGTCAGCTCTTCAAGCACATGCTTCTCATAGTTAGCTTCGTCTATGCCCACGCTACCACTTTCCTTTTTTCGTAAACCTTATTTCAAATCCAGATTAAGCTGAGAAAGTTGTCGTGTTGCCGTAGAGTTTGCTTGATCTGCGGCACAATTTTTGCACGCACCAAGACGTTGGGATACCTCCAGGACTTCTGATTGTTGCTGATGGCTGAGTGCGCTTCGCAGACAGTATATCTTGAGGCAATATTTCCTCCTTTTTTGTCTATTACAGAACCATCAATAGAAGGAAAAGAAACAAAAGAAATATAGTTGTTGGCTCCCGTAGCCATGTCGACCGCGAGCGAAGTAGTTGGCATTTTAGGTTCCTCTATTGCTTCGAAGAGATCTTGCCCTATTTGTTGACCTTGACTTTCAATATAATGGTTTTTGTAGAGTTGTTCAATTTTTTGAGCCTAGGGAGAAGTTATATAATAAACGGCAAAAGATTATGTGTTACACTTGCCTTCCGAAGTTTTTTTCTTCCATTTCCCCTGTTCGTCATCACTTCTTGCCAATATTAATGCCACTTCAGGGCTGTTTTTAGAAATTAGTTGTATCGCTGAGACTTTTTTTCAGGTGCTTGAAAACATCGCATTTTTCTCGGATCTCTCTTTGAGGTTCCCATTCCTTGAAAAGGTGATGCAGAAAGATCGCAAGTTGCGGACAGACGTTGTTTGGGCATATAACTACGCTAAAGAAACAGGTAATCATCTCACAGTAAGATCATAACATCAGCAGTGTAAAGTTGGCTGAACATTTCCATATTGAAGGTCTATGTGACGCTGACACCTACAAGATCCTTGAAATGATGGCACAACAGCAAGGCATCATTCCAAAGTCTGAAAAGTGGGTTTGCAAGATTCTATTTCATTGATCACATTGTCGACTGAGGGTGATTAAGAATTTACGGTCCAAATCAGTTCGTTTTAATGGTTCGTGTAACCCGTAATGAACAAAGAGGCAGGCTACAAAAGATATTGACAACGTGCTGCAAGAAAACAAAGCGAGCAAACGGAAAGACACAGAACTCACTAGAACAAAGAAGAAGAGCGAAGCCCGTGAGCAACTTTGAAAGCATTCCCATTAGTTTGAATCTCAGATGAATCTCTTGGAGAGAATGTTCCTAAATTAATAGGTCTCACGTTGTTTCGTTTTAGCTAGTCAGTGGTACTCATTCACTTCACTTTCGGTTGTGATTACTTGTTGTACAATCATATCGTGCCTTATGCAGAACTAATAAAGATATTCTCTATGCATATAGTTCTTTTGTGGAGGTTGATTGCCTCGAGTAAATACCGCTTTTTATCTTCGTTTCTTATTTTTTATCTTTTTTCCATTTGTCGCTGTATCTTTGCTGATATTAGGAATCCTTCGCTCATTTAGATGACAGAACTTTCGCTTAAAGAATTGAGGGATCTCGCCGATGATAACGAGATCGACTTGTCGCGAGTCCTCACCCTGTGCCAAATCGTTGCCAAAGTTTGCATTTAATCTTGTAGGACTGGGAATAACTTTCAATGGGACTTTTATTTGGCAAATATTTTTTGGGGGCTAAGCCATTCCTATCTTCATTCTTTGCTTTCCATATGCAAGGATATACAGTTCTAGGTTCCACGATTGACCCATGTCGATCTAGGGTCCAACAAAATTACGGTTCTGCCGTCTTCACTTGTGCACAATGACACGCCTCGTGAGGTACCGTTGGTAGAGTCGTGGTCGACATCTCCTGAATCATTTTGAGTTTTAGACTTGAGTTAGGCAGCAATCTGTTGGATCACCTTCCCGATAACATTGGAGCCCTTGTACATTTAGAACATCTCGATCTTTACAATAATCAAATTGAGGTTGGTTCTTTCTAAATCGAAGAATATCTTCTTTTTTTGCATTCAAGAATGCTCTGCCAATTTGAAAATGTTGGTATTTCATGGTGCTTGTTATCCTTTTTGTCACTATAATTTTTTTTATCGGATCACTAGTTTTGGTTCCAATCGCGAATGTGCAGTTACATGTGCAACTGTGCAGCACTTTCGTGGCTAGGCTCATTTTGGACTTATCAGCAAAACGCGTGGCATAAAATTGCATCAACAGCGCCGAGAAGTACGTGCGAATAATCAGAGAACCAATTTTTCGAAGTGTTGCAACGCCATTTGGTCTAGTCAGACTGTAATTACGACATATATAGCGGTGGGTCAAAGTGTAATTATTTTGTAGGAAGTTGGGATTGTGAGAAACCTTGCACGTTGAATGGAAATGTCACTTATTCTCAGTAATTATGTGTAAATACTGACCATAACATAAAAAAAAACTGTCTAACGATCAGTGGTCGCAGAGAAGCTCATTAGTTCTTAAAGCGCAATTGTTGCGACATTTTTCTCATTGAGCTGACAGAATATTGTTACTTAGATGCAATATTATATGTGTCTATATAATATCTATATACCGCCATGCACATTGTTTACAGTTAAAGTACGATAGCGCAGCAGCCGTCTTTCCCCTTCTTGCCTCTCTGTAAAATGTGCGAAAGATAAGCCGCCGAGCGCTGCTTTTTTTTGCGGATTGAGATTGCAGCATTGAGATAGCCCATGCAATCAGTCTTTTTTTTTAGAAATGCATTGGCTTTGAAATGTATATTTGGCCTTTAGAATGACTTGAGATGGCCAGTGGACGTTCATATCGTTGTTTTTACTTATCCTGATGAGTGTGGCGTTACATCATCGATTTTGACTAAGACTTTTGAAGACAATGGCTGATAGAGAGTAGAGGGGTGTGGTTAACTTGGACAGAAAGCGACTTTTTCGCGTTTCGCGACCGTATAACATGTTTGCTGTCGGAATTAACGTCTTCATGAGCAGTGGTAGCCTGAGGTCAGGTCCCACCCTTCTGTGTTCTGTTTTGAAATTTTTTAGGACCCGCCCCCAGGTGGATTGATACGACCCCCCAAGGTGGATTTGATACGACCCCCCTTTTCCACACACCTCGACCACCTTCATCGTCTCTATAGCAGGGTGAATATCGCTTGAGGATTCCTCAACGGCACGTCGAGGATTCTCTGCCCGGTCAGACACGATCTCTCGCGCGGACATTCACACTCGCCATGGGCGTGCCGTCTGTGCTCTCCGCGCGGATGTTCACTCTCGGCACTACTCTCACATGGTAGAGAGCTATGGTCGAGGAAATCCTCGACCGTTATTCACCGCACTCAACCACCAAAACTCCGCCCACTTTTTCCTCCGAAAATGCCGTGCGAGTTATATACGGCGCGCTGAAACGGCAAATTTTTTTCCTGCGCCCCTCAACTCACCCAGCCTACCTACCCATAAAAACTTCAGTTTCACCTCAAACTCACATGTGATTTCAAGCGACTGAAACGGGTACGACCCCCCTCCCCCCTCCGGAGAGATGTGCGTGAGAGCCGGCTTTCGCTATAAGATATCTGCTAACTCTAAGCAAAACCTTTGTCGGCTTTCAAATCATAATTTCTGTAGTCAAGTATAGGTTTTTTTTATAAGTTTAACACACTGGCTACAGCCACTTCTTATATCTCTGCGTCTTTGCATTTTCGCAGATTTGTCATTACCCTTTCAGAAATGCTGCTGCTTCAGTTGATATATTGTTTTGCCTATCCGATAATTCATATGTAGAATATTGAGTCATGAAAAATATCGAATGAATCGGGAAAGACGAGCCTCATCTAAGTGAAAATGTGTAGCGCATGCACATCACGCTGTCGTCAGTGTGCTAAAATCATGTGCATGACACTGGTTACAAAATAAATATGTTTGTGTTTCAGGAGCTGCCACTATCGTTCTCTAATCTGAACGCATTGCGATGGTTGGATTTGAAGAGAAATCCTTTGAACCCTGAGCTACTCAAGGTAGCATATGCATCGCAGCACTCCGCTTGGTACAGTATGACTGGTACTGTAGTCATACATCAAGCGTTTCAGGTCACAGGTAACTGTGGAAGTGAAAAAGAGTGCCGACAAGCTGCTCTGAATGTGGTTTCGTACATGAAAGAGTTACAAAAAGTTCATAATATCCAGGTTTGCAGAGCAAATTCCGTCTTTTGCATATTACTTCCGCCTCTTGCCTCCTTCTTGTGTTTGCTTCTAAGCTTGTTTTTCTGTTCTTCACAGCACTAGCCATGCAGCAGAAGGAAGCGAACGGGTATTCTTATTGATTTCTGGGGCGTAGAAAGTAGCCCTACTTATTGCCTCTTTGCTTCCTCGCGTTCCGCCATTCGCATATTGCATGCCGTGTTCGGGAGTTACTGCATAGTTTTAGTATTTGCGTGATTCAATAATAATTATATCTCAGATGTTGACGCAGCAAAAAGTGCACGAGAAGATACAGGAAGTGAAAGAGGCAAAAGAACCGACGCATAAGAACAAAAAGAAACATCACAATAAGAAAGAAGATGCAGCACATCAGGCAGCAAAGAATAACGGTAGGTTCTATCCTTTACGTTTGAATTTCGGTAATCAACTTTTGTGATATGTGGTTTCCTACGTCGGTATTTTATTGAGTTTGTGGAAAAATCTTCTTACGACCACTGAAATATTTTTGAAGTTGACGTTATTTGAACCCCCATCTTAAAAAATCTCTAATGTGTGCTTCCCTTCACATAATTCCAATTGCAAGAGGAAATGTGTCACTAATGATTTATAAGAGCTGCCGTCTATCCCGGCACGCAATTTTTGCTGCTAAAATCGATAGCGTCTCCGAGGACATCGCATGAGCCGTTCAATGAGGAGTCTCGTTTTTACGAGCGCTTACTATGCTAGTCTGACATCAGGATTGGATTTGTGGCAGAAGATGTCTTCAAATCCGGATCTTCTTGTTTTTTTCCACTTATAAAACGCTTTTTTGTCGGACATT